TTAAAATCAGAGAATTTGCATTTTTAAACAGAGAAAACCATGATCCTTGCTTATGATGCTGTAGTGTGTTCTCACGTGGAAGCAGACCTTCAGGCAACTGCTGACATCTTTACTGAGGCATACAGGAAAATGGGACTGACACTTAACATTTAAGAAAACTAAGGTCTTCCATCTCTTAGTGAGAAGTTCCCAGCTCCAGTAATTCAGATTCACAGTAAGACTCTGGAGAACACCGAGTATATCCTGTAGCTTGGAAGCCATCTCTCGCAGAAGGCCAACATCAACGAAGAAATCCAACATCCCTTCGAATGTGCAAGTGCAGCCTTTGAATGCCTGAGGAAACTGGTATTTAAAGATCGTGACATTGGATCTGAAACTAAACTCATGGTTTATCAAACACTCGTGATTCCTACCTTACTGTATAGAGCTGAGACATGGACAATGTACAGGAGACACCTCAAGTCGCTGAAGAAGTATCATCAACACTGCCTCTAGAAGATCCTTCGAATCTAGTGGGTAGACACATGCACCAACATTATGCGCAAACACAATGACCGCCGAGGCAACGATCATCTGACATTAACTTCATGGGGCCGGCCACATCAGCCAGATGTCTGACTCCCAAAGCAAATTTTATTCTCCCAGTTCAGTCAAAGCATATGCTCAAGAGGAGGGCAGAGAAAGCGCTTCAAGAATGTCCTCAAGGCCAACTTGAAAAAATGCAGCATCGATACTAATTCACAGGAGACTATTGCCCAGGACAGCCTCAAATGGAGGAAGAGTCTGCTGCAAGGATCTCAGTACTTTGAAACCTTAAGACAACAACAGGAGATGGAAAAATGGGAGAAGCAGAAACGTGTCACGGACTAAATCAAGAATCTGTTGAGCTTCCAGTACTGTGCCTTTTAGAAGCTAATGTCCTGTGCTTCATCCACCTCTTCTTCCTGTAACTTGGCAGTTAGGAAACCCACAAATAAACCCCCAACCATATCACCACTGCATTTTTCCTCTTTTACTTCCGCTCAAAGAACACTCAAATAAACTACTGTCTTCCTCCTAGACCAAAGAAGAAATGTGTATAGGACTGACAATGCAGCACTACCTTACATCTTCCAACGCTATCCAGTTACAAGCGTGGTCTCACCAAGACTGTCAAACACCTAACAGGTCATAGGTTGG